TTTTATTCAAAAATTTGTAATTAAGGTAATTGATAAAATTAATACACGTTTAACTTACTTTCTTTAAAACACTTGTAGTTAGAAATATTCATTTTCACTTTTTATATTAAGGTTTTGAACGTAACTATCAATAATCTACTTGCAAACATCCCCACTTTTTAATATATTCATATATATATTTGATATTTATTAATTATACTTACACCAAACTTCTTAGACCTATTATTATGATTTTCCATTTTCATTTTAAGTATTAATTTATTATCCTGTTTTCCATAACTATTATAACTATTTTTGATTTATTTATTTTTAATTCAGATTTTGTTTTTAAAATTATTCTTAGACTCCAAAATATATTTTCCATTTTCAAACTTACCTTTACATTTTACAAATTTTGACTTTCCTTAATATTAAATACCTTGTTCAGTTAATAAAATTGTCTATCCTTCAAATTTATTAAAAAATCCCTTATCAAAGCTTAAACTTTGGATTGAAATTTTCATCATATTCAGTTTAATAAATAAATCCTTCTATTTCATATAAATTTTCATCTTATTATATTAAATCTTACTATTTAAAATTCACTTTATACTAAGTATATTAGAAGAATAGAACATTTTCACATTTACCTTGTATAATTTAGATGAGATCATATTGAAATTGATTTCAATCCTTAATCCAGCATTCAATAATATTTCCTTATAGACTCAGATTATTAGATAATTTTTGCTATTTATTTTGATCATTTTCATATTATTAAGTATTCTAAATTTATGATGTTCAAAAAAGCTTTCTGAATTATTTCCTTTTTTTCGAAAATTAAAATAATCTTAAATAAGTAGAAATAGTACCTAACAGACATCCAATTCTGAATATAGAAATATTTTAAATAAATTTATTACAATTAAATTTTATTTATCTATAAAGTTTAAATGAGCTGCACTTTGAAATATCTAAATTATGAATCAATTATCTACATACTTTTAAGAAGGATTTTCGTTGAAATTTATGTAAACCAAAAATATTGAAATTTTGAATACAGAATAATAAATTAGGCTAAATTCATAAAATCAATTTTTAAATATTCATTTGAGTCAAATATTTACAAAATTGGGAATAATGATAAGTTGATAATTCTGATATTGCTTTAATTTATTTTGAATTATTAAATACTTCTATATAATTCATAGTTTGGCTTAATATTAAGATTTGCAGATCAATTATAATTGTTCATCACATTTTTAAGCCTTTAATAATTTGTTTATCATTTTCTTAAATTAATATATAATATATTTTATCTAAAAATTTTAATAATATTTTTATATTATATTTGATTGTCAATTAGAAAGGTAGATTTTATTTATAGGGAAAGATGTTGTACATAAAAATTTGAGAATGAAAAGAAAGAATTTAAAGAGTCAAAATGTTTGAATTTAGAGTTGTTTCTTTATCAATGTTGTGAACCCTTTTAATATTAAGTAGATAAATAGTTTATAAAGTTAAAACGAAATAATAATGCGTACATATAATACTAAAAATCTTATCTTAAGGATTGATGATACAACAACACAATTTCTAATTATCAGATTGATAGAATAATATAATTCTTCCTTCCTTTCTTAATTAAAATTATAAAGAGATATTTCAAAAGATAGACATCTTATTTAAAGACTATTTAAAAGTTTTTTTTCTTATTGATGTCAATATTTACTTAAAAAAATCATATATCAAGCATTCTCTTATCATCATGCTATCAATTTAAAATAATTCTGAAGATATTATGTATATATTTAAAGATATTACCAAAACAAATCACATACAAAAGATTCTATTTTAAATTGAAAATATCAAGAACCAAGCTCTTCCCTCTTTAAATTTACACATAAAGTGTGAAATATTTTAAGCATATTCTATTTTTTGCTTTTTTAAAATTTTGAGATAAAGCATCTGATATAAAACCGTTTTGGAGCTGTTTTTGCAAACTTAGAATTTGATATCTCATTTTTACGATTTTTTTTCTCATATCTTTATAATTCTATCAAAAAAAAATTTTAAATTAGAGATTCTAAATTAGCCAAAAATAAAAAAAATGCTCCCAACTATATACCTTCATCACATCAAATGTTTAATTTCACAACAAACTTTTCAACATTTATTCTTTTAGGTTTAGTAATCTAGCTTACCTTTCATTAGAAATTATTTTATTTATTTTTTTTTTAAAATCTATTGTTCAAATATTTTTGAATTATTTATATCCTGTTTGCCAAAATATATGAAAATATATATTAAAATTATTTTTCCTTTATATCAAATAACTTTGGTAAATTGTTAACTATACTTGAAATATCTTGAATCGTAAAAGTATAATAAGTTTTATTTTTATTATCTGCTGCTATGAATAAATTAACTGAAAGTAAAGATAACAATGAATCATTATTTAGAAAATCTAATGCAATAAAAATAGTAGCTGGCTTTCGATTTGACCAAAGAAATAATTCTCATATTGAATAGTTTAAAGTTCAAATGTAAATTACATTCAAAAAAAACCATTATTACAATTTTAGTATTTTTTTATTTGAAGCAAAAACTGTTTATGCATTTTCAAAACAGGATATAGGATAAATGGTGTGGTTTATTTTTGACTAGCTAAAATAGGCAAAATTTATGTTAAACCAGCTTGCTACTATGATTCTATTTGTAAGTAACTTA